GCGGGCCGGCAGGGTGCAGCGGCGGGCCGGCAGGAGCAGCGACGGGCCGGCAGGGTGCAGCGGCGGGCCGTAGAGTGCAGCGGCGGGGCCGTCGGCAGCAGAGGCGGGGCCGCGTCAGAGGAGGCGGCGTGGCCGCGTCAGGGGAGGCGGCGGGGCCGCGTCAATGGAGGCGGCGGGGCCGCGTCAGGGGAGGCGGCGGAGTCGCGTCAGGGGAGGCGGCGGGGCCTCGTCAGGGGAGGCGGCGGGGCCGCGTCAGGGGAGGCGGCGGGGCCGCGTCAAGGGAGGCGGCGGGGCCGCGTCAAGGGAGGCGGCAGGGCCGCGTCAGGGGAGGCGGCGGGGCCGCGTCAGGGGAGGCGGCGAGGCCGCGTCAAGGGAGGCGGCGGGGCAGCGTCAAGGGAGGCGGCGGGGCCGCGTTAAAAGAGGCGGCGGGGCCGCGTCAAGGGAGGCGGCTGGGCCGCGTCAGGGGAGGCTGCAAAGCCGCGTCAGAGGAGGCGGCGGGGCCGCGAGTGAAAAGGCGACCCGAGGGGTCGCTAAAAGAAAGGCGCGCCTCGGGGCGCGCGTCGGTGGGCCCAAACAACGGTCCTAAGGTAGGACCCGCTCTATACCATGTGAAAATAGGAAAACAGGAATGAATGACTAAGGAAAGATTGGGTACAAATACAACCCTAGAAAACCTGTACCCCATATGTGCTACCCCACTATAGCCTACAGCAACTATGTCATATAAATCTGACAGCACGGACCAGGGCAACAGACGCAATTAAAAAAGCCAACATCATCGCTAAGCGCAACGCCGATCGCCACCGCCGACCTGTCACTTACCAGCCAGACGACCTAGTACTACTCGATACTCAGAACCTCCGCTTGCCCATCACTCCAAAACTTCGCCCCCGATATTGTGGGCCATTTCGCATCAGCCACATGATCACACCCGTCACCGCCCACCTCCTCCTCCCTGCTGACTGGTACGTCAGCCCGTCATTCCACGTCAGCCTACTTCGCCCTTACATCCCATCCACGAGCCAACTGCCACGAAATCGCCCAGCCAGCATGACACGCCCCCCAACCGAACCAACCATCACCCCTGAAAAAATCCTCAGCCACCGAGTCCGCGACCCTCGGGGAGCCCGAAGGATCGAGTTCCTAATTCGCTGGAAGGACCGAACGCCCACAGAAGACAACTGGGTCCCCTTGGATAAAATCGAGAACCACCCTGTCTTCACTGAGTACCTGCGAAGCCGAAATTTCCGCGACGTCCATGCGCTCTCGTAAGAGGGGCCTCCTTGGGGAGGGGGGTAGTGTAAGGAAAATTCCTTTTCCTTACTTCGCATCCCCGCTCAACGCGTACATCACTGTAGCACCTCAGTCAGCACCGTTACCACTCGCATCAATAATCCGCCCGCCATTTTTCGCATGTCGCACCCCGACCTCACGGCTCGGCGGTAACCCGCGCTCCGGACCTCCGCCTCGACACTTTTCCCAACCTCAGTCCCAGGCCCGTCGCGCGACAACCACAGTCCATTAACCGTTACCACTGTAGTTTCGCTATATAATCCTTCGCTCATGCCTTCGCTCATTGTACTCTTGCTTCGATAGTGCAATCTTCGTTCTCTCACTCCATTGCACCCGTAACACAGCACTACGTCCTACGGAGATTCTTTGGCCGTAAGAAATGTACTGCACCGTACTCCACTCCCAAATTCAACCCTACTGACTAGCACAGCAAGGGAATATTTTTTGGCGCGGAAGGCTGGCAGGGATTCGATCATTCGATGCAAGAAACTTTGTTGCGGTGGGTCGGGCCATTCACCACCGCCCACGTGGACAAGCGAACCACACAAACGGCTGTTTTCGGTGCGGGCAGTTCCCCATCGGGCAGTGGGCAGTGCACTTGAGCAAGCGGGTTTTGAATCCAGGCTTTCCTTCCGCACGACTTCGGGAAACTTGTCTCGTCTGCCAGCCACACCTTTCATTCATCCACACCCTGTCTGGTCGCAGTCGTTCTGTTCCGACGCACCCTAGACAGTCGGTGCCCATTTCAAGAACACCAGGTAGGCGGGCGGCATGTGCGTGAAACGTGTGTGAGTCAGTTCGCCACATTCGTCCTTGTCGCCACGGGCAAAAATGTGACTGTAATATGAAATTGCAACGTGAATCAAGTCAAGGGTTTTAAATTCGTAACCAGGTTAACTTCTTTGATGACGGGTAGCCGTTGCTGTTTATGTACTGTAGATGTTTTTCTTCCTCAACTTGGTGACTGTACCCTGATCAAGGGTCAATTTAGTCACTCACAGGCAAAACGTTCGCGAGTGACTAAATTTCTAATTCCAAGCAGCTAATGTTTTGTGATAGGCTGAGCATCGACTGTAGTACTCGTCGGCTGCCGTCCAGTGCTCATTTGTCACCTCCTCCTCCGCCCAGTTCCTTCGCCTGACGTCCTCCACCACGCGAGGTCTGCGTGAACTCCGTCCGAGGGTAACGCAGCGCAACCTGATTTTGCGCACGGGCAGCAGAGCTGTGAGTTTGTCGTTCTAACAGCGCGCAAGCGACGAGCGACTGTCGTCGTCCTGGCAATTAGGATAGCTCCGGAGGAACAGCGTCTTTTTCCGTCGTGTCGTCTTATTCGGCAGACCGTGGGATGGGTTCGGGTAGTCACGGGCAAGTGCCACGTCCCGGAAACTCATTGCTGGGCAGGGACAGGACAAGCAGACGCAGCGCGAATGGCGTCAATCGCAGATTGTCGGACTCGGAGGTTTGCGCGCCGGTTGAGAGGCCGCGGCGCGAGCGGTGGTGGCCGCTGAGGCCAAAAGCGCGCACGCTGACGGCGGACCAGCTGGTGTTCGCTATCGACGTTTTTCAAAACAGCTTCTGGGTGCTTTCCTGCTCGCTCAAAGGTAAATCTCGGAGGTTCGGTTTAGGGCTCCCCTTGTCCCCCTGCCTCCTCTCCTTCTGCCTCTCGGAATCGTCTCCTCCTCCGTTGAAGCTTCTCTCCTCGTCTCCCTGCCTCCCTGCCACCCTGCTCTTCCCTTCCCCCCCTCCGCCTCCCCCCTCCCTTTCGCGCGCAGACCTAAGCGGCACGAAGCCCTATCACCACTTCTTTTCCGTCGCCACCGGCTTCCCCCCCATCGACGGGCCCCCCGGCGCGTTCAACCGCGCGAAGCGCGCGCGCGCGCCGACGGAGTACGAGCTGCCGGCGGACTGGGTGGACGCGCTGACGCTGAGCTGCGTCGCCACCAAGAAGAACCGCCCCGACGTCTCCCTCGAGCTCTCCGCGGCGCCTTGCCGCGCGTGGTTCGTGCCGTCGCAGGGCTCCTTCCCCGCGGCGCACTGCATCCAGTTCCGCGGCCGCCTCCACCACACTGGCGCGTCCTCCGCGGCGGCGGCGGGGGAAGAGAGGGAGGGCGTGGGGTCGCAAGAGCAGCAGCCGCAGCAGCAGCAGCAGGGGTTTTCAGAGGAGTTCGTGTGTACGCTGGAGGCGCGGGAGCGGTTCGGGTCGGTTCCAGCGGACAACCAGTGGCACGTGGTGAAGCTGTCCGCGCAGCTGGGGGGAGACGCGGGCGTTAGAGGGGGGGGAGGCGCGGGGGAGAGCAGCATGGGGCTGAGCAGCCGGTGGGGCGGAGGGGGGGAGTATAGCGGGTCGACAGGCAGCATGGATATGCAGGGATCCAACGGGCAGGCGTCGCACCGTCGCAGCACGTCCTCGCTGCTGCCTTGGTCCTTTTCAGGCAGTGGCAGTGGCAGTGTCAGATGGGGCAGAAGCAGGAGCATCTCAGGAAGGGGGTGAGGAGGAGCATGAGGAGGGGCATGGAGCGAGGAGATGTGGGGTTGTATAGATGGAGGTGGTGAGTACTAAACAGGCAGGGTACAGAGACAAGAGGTGCTGGAATGTGCAGGAGGGTGCTCATGGCAAGGGTGTGTCATGCTGACGTGGCGTTATACTGCAAGGTGAAGTGCATGCGTGTGTGACTGGCAGTGGTAATAGTGGTGTGGAGACAGGGCGTGGCTGGAGGGTGGGTTGCTCACAGCTTGTGTGTGGAACAGTGCATGCCCTTGTGGGGTTCACTCTTGCTCCTCCGTGTGCTTGCTTGCTGCTCTGTGAGCTGCTTTTGCTCCATGCATCCGCCCAGATACGACGTGGTGCGACTGTATATCTTGAGGGTTACGTACGTGCCTAGATGATGGGCGATAAGGGCGCTGCTCTCTGTATATGAAGCAGGTGCAACTGTCACACCTGTTGCAGTTTCCGTGTGTTTGTCCTTGTGTTTTCTCTTTTTGAGTGAGTACGGGGCACTCTTGAGGGATTTTCTGACCCCTTTTCTTTATAGATCAAGGGAGTCAGGAACACTTTAGAACCGCCGGTCTGATCTATAATATTTATTATGGCTTTTGTAAGCTGCTGTATTGGCACTAGGGTTTGGTCTGTGGGAAGAATCCATGACTTGCACACTGCACTGCAACGCATTACTACTGGTAATGACGAGCATTTAAGCGGGGGTGCTATCTGCCAATTACTCACATGTCCCCCTACTGTCTCTAAGAAGTTGCACCCTGGTTTTAAACTCGGAGCCCTGCTGCCTGGCCTTGTACAACTGTCCTATGGGATAGCACATACGGTAGTAGTACAGCAACCGAGTACCCTGCTTTATATGGCACACGTGCAGAATGCAGCAAGATACAGGCGCACATTCACCTGGTGCTGCTTGTATGGAGGATTTAATAACGGGTCAGGCTCATTTATGAGCATATGCCACACGGCAAACCTATGATACACAGGCAGGTGCGCACCCTCCTGATTAAATTGGAAACATCCCTGAACCAGGTACGTAGTGATGAAGAGTATGGTATCAAGGCATGAACGGCTCTCAGGATGTCCCCAGTGCTCAGTGCTGTAGTGCAGCTCCGCCCATCCACCACTGCAAAGAGCACCCTCTCTGTGCAGCAGGGATCGTCGTATCTAGGTGGAGAACTGTAGATTGTTCCTGCTTCCGACTGACATGATCTCAGCATTGCCCTGTTTCCCTCAGCCAGTCACAGTGCAGCACCTGTTCAGCTGTCGCCCGCCACCTTGGCTCCACCGTCAGCATCTGCAGCACCGCCTGCCGCGCTGCCCCAGACACTCCCGCCCAGTACTTATCTGAGAACACCACGTGGCCCGCACATGCCTTTTTCCGCGTTTCGTCCTCGGTGCGTCCGTAGAAAGGGAGGCGGCCGGACAGCAGCACGTGGAGCACCACGCCCAGCGACCACATGTCCGCCTCCCGCCCGTACAGCCGCCCGCGCGCCACTTCCGGCGCCATGTAGAACGCCGTGCCCGCCACTCCGCGGATCTGCGCGGACGGCGCGGGGAGGCAGACGGCGAGGCCGAAATCCGCGAGCTTTACGCTCCAGTGGCATAAGGATCTCGCGCCGCCACGACTGCTCGGCCAACTGCATCCGCCATTGCTGCAAGCACTGTCGTCGCAACTGCCGCCGCTCGGGCAGGAGGGTACCCTAGGGCTGCCGCTGGCGCTAGCGCTGGTGCTGCCGCTCTCGCTGTTCGAGCAACTGCTATCTTCGCTTCTCCGCCGTCCTCTCTCTGCGCAATCCTCGCGCGCTGTGTCGCCGCTGTTGCTAGAAACACCGCTGATCGCGTCTATTCCCGTTCGACTGCAAGTCTGGCAGTCAGCAGTGGTCATGCAGCTAGTATTGCTGCAACACAGCAGCACGTTCTCCGGCTTTAAGTCGCGGTGGATCACTCCTATTTTGTGAAGCCCTGCTACTGTCGTCAGCAGCTGCCTGATGACGTCAGCAGCCTCATGCTCAGGTAGCCGTTGGCGCGACTTGATCAGGGCCGAGAGCGACCCGGCGTTGCACCGCTCCATGACGAGATGCACGTGGTCGCGCGATTCCCGCACATCCAGCAGCCGCACCACGCCACTCACTTCACTGCGGGAGACGAGCCGCATGATTGCCACCTCCTGGCGGAAGTCATCCGCGAAATCCGGATTGTCGAGTGCTAACACCCGCTTCGATATTGTCTTGACTGCGACCTCGCCGCCTGTTGCGGAGTCTCGGCACACGCGAACGGTGCCAAAGGCGCCGCGACCGAGCGTGTGGCCTGTGGGGACGTATCTGGATAGGGGCTCGCCGGGATGCGCGGGGAAAATGAGGGCTGCAGGGGAGCTGCAGTTGCTCGACGAACACGATCGGCTGCAGAGATCGAACGGCAGGCAAAGGCTCAGGCTGCTCCGACTGTGAGGTGGTGTCAGGTGGCTCTCTGTGTCGCACTCGTCACAAAACTCATCCACTCTCTTCTCGATAAAATCATGAGTCGGTGAACCGAAGCTGGGCGAAGGACTCTCCGTATTGATTTGTCTGTGTAGGCGGGCAGTGGTTCCTGTAGCGCGCCGAGCCGGACTGGTGCTGTGATTAGAAGCGTCGCTGTCAGACGCACAGACGATGTCATGGTTTAAACCACCTGCACATAGACCTTCTAAGACAATGCCGCTCCTGGGAAGCGCCGCACGCCGCAAGGACGCAGCGCGAGAGGCGCGTGACTTTTCTAGACGGCTGGTTGCTACCGCACTTTCTGACTTCTGTCGCCCTAAGTCGCGAAAGCGGCGAGGATAGGCTGGCGAGTGATCGCTATAGGCGGACGACGACAGCGACGACGACGACGACGACGACGACGAGCTACTTCGTCGCAATCTGCTCTTCACGTTGCCCATGTTACTTCTGCATGGTAAAAAAGTACGTGGGAATACTACTTGTCAGTTGTGAGCGCCATGATGGAAGGCCACGAGGTGGAAGATAGGGTTCTGAAGCCGTGAGCATCAGATTCAGCTCCTGCTTGGAAAACCGCCTTGCGTAGCGCTCGCTTGAGTTCTGATCACAATTGACTGATGATACGAAGAAGGGTTTCTGTCATTAGATAACGGGGAGCTATTTGAGCAATGCTTTAGCACCAAGGAGAGGGATTGTCGGTGGTGGGCGGGTGGGCTGGAGTAGAGTGGTGGTGGTGAGGGAGAAGAGAAGAGTGAGCATTGAGCGACACAGCAGGGCACAGATGGAGGTGGTCTTGGATCCTTGGCACGACTCACCTCAGCTGTTTCGTTCAATCACTCCCGCGAATTGGTGAACATCTCGCTCGAGTCGCGCTCGCCAGGAGAAGAGCTGGCAGAACGAGCGGGAGGCTGGTGATTTGAAAAAGTACAGTGCATGGTGATAACCACTCGATTTTGTTTGAAAGGAAGGGGGGTACGGGCGTTCACGACTCTCTCTTTTTCGTCTAGATTTTCCCGTTCGTTGGTTCCTGGTACCAGTCATTATATAGCTCCACTCTAAAATGCCTTGCTTCAAGGAACCAGGTTTCTGGGTTCGACAAAACAAAATCATGCGAGTGCTGACGGAATTCGTTTCCGGCTGACCTGTTGCAGGGGGGTTTGGCACCCTAAGCTAGCATCTGCGATCCGACATCCGCGCCGCAGGTAAAGGGGCTACGAGAAGCCAATGACGGCGAGATGATACTAACGAGCAGCTTATATCACAGCGTATCACGTCACGAGCAGTTTCTGCGCAGAGCGGTTCCACCAGAGCACATAAACCACAGTTGGTACCTCGTCCTCCTCCATACAAGGTTTCACGCAAAACTGTCTGCGACCGACTAACAGACCAGAAACACCAGCCGTGGTAAAGACATTTCTTACTCAAACAAAAGATCCATTTTCTGTTGTCCTTTATGCTCCTATTGGGATGCTCGGCGAGGAAGTTTGACTTCTGAACAAAAATTGAATCAACTTGAAGAATTCAGCTGCTTTGTAATGTAACAGCACATTGTACATGTCATCACGAAGCCACTTAGTCCTTGAAATCGTTGTGCCCAAACAATGCTAGGCCCTTCGGCCCTGGATTGCTAATTGATCCACCCCTCGTCGTCCTCCATGTCCTTCTAACCGGGCCCTCCGTGCAGCAGCAGCTGCTGCTGAAACCACTTCTCTTGCAGCAGCCCGCACCTCTGCCTCCTCTTTCTGCGCCTTTGCATCCGGCTGGGCATACAGTGACGCATACACGACACGGGTGCGCAGAATAAGGATGAGGTTCAAGCACACCCCGAGCAGGCACACCGCGGCCATGATGAAGAATGTGAGGCGGAAGCAGTGCGCGCCGTAGCACTCCTCGACCTTGTCTGACACTGGCCACTCCGCCCCATGCAGACCGCCGCTGCCCACGGTGCTCATGCTCTGTGTCACCACACTGCTGCTGCTGCTGGCGCTGCTGCTATTGCCATGCAACAGAATTTCAGATGTCGCACGCAAGACGCGTCGGGACAGAGAGTCTGAAGCAGAAACAACCGTGTGCGCCACAGCAGGTGATGCACCACCCGCCCCTGCCAACCCTGCCACTCCCCCTACCCCAGCAGCACTAGCCGCAGCACTCACCCCACTCCAAGGCCACACCCCATTGAACCCCCACCCTCCCCCCACCCTGCCGCCACCCCCACCCCCACCCCCGCCATGATCCTTCTCCGCCTCCCGATCATACAAATACCCCGCAATCATCCCAGAAAAGACAAACGAGCCCATGGGGCAGGCGGCGGTGAGCGTGTTGTAGAGCATGCCGAAGTGCTTGAGGCCAAAGATTTCACTGGCCGTGGCCGGCATGATGGACCAGTGCACGCCGTAGCACAGCCCCACTATCACCGACCCCAGATGCAGCGAGGAGGGGAATGCCAGGGCAAAGAAGATGTGGCCTACGGCCATGAGGGATTGCGCTAGCAGGAGAAGCACGGGGCGCGGGAGCATGTGATCCCTGGGGGGACGGAGGGGGGAGAGGAGAGGGGAATGGGCAGGATAGGAGGGAGGTGAGGGTTGGAGCATGGGTGGAACAGGAGGGGGGAGGAGAGGAGGGAAGGTGGGTTGGTAATGGCAAATGTGGTGATGGCAAATAGCAATGGCAATGGCAATGGCAGGATAGTGTGGCGCAATGGTGCACATGTGTGTGGCCCGTGCTTGCACCGTGTAGTGTAGTGACACATACATGCACCCACATACAAATGAACCCACGCAGCCACCCACAGCCCCATGCACCCACACCCCCAGGCACCCACTTGACCACATGCTCCGATGCATATCCCGCCAGCAGCCGCCCCACGAAGTTGCTGACGCTGAGCAGCGACAGGAACACACGCACACTCGAGTACCCCTGTGCCGCGCCCATCTGCGCCAGGTTGTTAATCGCCGTCAGCCCGCTGCCCGTACCGCACAGGAACGACACAAACAGCAGCCAGAAATCCGCCTTCACTGCCGCCTGCTGCAGAGTGAAGTCCTGCCCTCTTCTCGGCCCTGACCGGCGCCTGCCCCCTCCCACGCGCACTGCTCCCTCACCCACTGCCAGTAGTAGTTCTGCTTGCTTGCGCCGCCGCTCCTCCTCTGTGTGGTGGTGGTGATGGTGTTGCTGAAGCTGCTGCTGCGTTGGGAGGCTGGTGGACGGGCGGAGGGGCCAACAGGAGATGGGGAGGCAGCGGGAGAGGAAGGAGAAGTGGGAGGAGGCGGTGGTGCTGGGTGGAGGGGAAGGCAGTGCGGATGGCGCTGCTGCTGCTGTTGCTGCTGCTGCTGCTCCGGCGACTGGCCCAGGTCCCCGCCTTGCCCCCTCCCCCTCCTCCTCCTGCTGCTGCCGCATCAAGAGCGGCTCTTTCAACACGTCCCCAGCACCGCCAGCACCCATAGATGGGGACGCCGGCGCTTCCTTGCGCGCCGAGTCAGAGGTGCTCCCTTGTGCAGGGGGGCGGAGCGAGGAGAAGCGCTGTGACGCTGGTGCCAGGGCCGCTGCCAGTCCCACAGGGCTGCGCAGGGAGGACGCAGCAGTAGTAGTAGCAGTACCGCTGGTAAGGCTCGCACCTGTTGCTGCACCTGCAGGTGGAACTGTGGCAGCAGCGCCAGCAGAAGCTGCAGGTGCAGCAGCAGAGGTCGCGGAGGGAGCAGCGAGGGTGAGCGAGGGAGGCGGGGGGGAGGTGCCAATGGTGAAGGCAGGCGCGGGCGGGGAGAAGGTGGATTGTGAGAAGACCGGCCTGGCCCTGGGAGGCGCCAGTGAGAGGGCGGAGGAGGAGGAGGCGGAGGCGGAGGGGATGGAGCCTGACGGAGGGTAATAATATCCTCCCGTGCTGCTACAGCTCCCTGCCTGCTGACTGCCCATGGGACTGCTGCTGCCCCCCACGCCCTGGACTGCGAGGAACACACCCGACGACCCTCCACCCGCGCCCATGCTGCTGCTGCTGCTCCCCTCCGTCGCCCAATAAGCACCCGAAGCACCCCCCATGGCACCACCGCCACCCATGCCCATGCCCATGCCGATGGGCGAGGGCATTCCTAGCGCGCCCCCTCCTCCTCCTCCTCCGCGAGCGAAGTAGGACTGGAGGTCAGCGAGGGAGCTGACGCGGCTGATGTCCGACAGCAGAGAGTCGTAGCTCTCACTGCGCTCCAACACTCCCCCCCGGAACCCGCCCCCCGTCCCCTCCCCCTCCCTGCCGCGCCTGTCCCCCCCCAGAAGTGACTCATCCTCCAGGAAGCTTCCCAGCATCACTGCCCGCTCCTCCCTCGCCTCCCCACCTCCCGCTCCCCCCGCCCCCCCTGCTCCCGCTGCCCCCGCTGCTGCCCCCGCCTCCCCGCCGTCCCACGTCCGACTCCTCTCCAGCCCCCCCTCGCCTGCGCCCCCATCTTCCGCGGAGGGGCGGCGGGACTTGGGGGGAGTGACGGAGGCGGTGGGGGTGAGCGCGGTGGAGGGGAGCGCGGAGGAGGTGGGGACGAGCGGGGGGAGGAAGGTGGCGAGCGGCAGCAGCAGGAAGGACACCATGCCCGCGAGAATGCCGCGGTTGAACTGCACAAGAGGGGAGGACGGGTTGCGGGAGAGCGTGGGGGGCGAGTTGGGGGGAAGGAAGAGGGGAACGGGTTGGGGGGAAGGAAGGGAGAATGGGTACGCAAGACGGACGGGCAGACGGAGGAAGAGGGGGAATGGTGAGTTGGATGTGTGTTGGTGGCGATAGCGAGCATCCGAGGTGGAGGAGAGAGGGAGCTCGCAGCAATCCCGATTCCAGTGAGGCACAGCACGATGGCCACTCACCCCTTCCCATCATCGTCCTCCTTCCCACCCAACCACCCCGGTCCATACTTATCTCCCCCACTTCCTCCGCCCCTCTCCCTCTCCTCCACTCCTCCCTCCTCCCTCTTTCCGATTCCCCATTACAGCACTCTCCCATCTCTCCACTTCCCCATTTCCCCATTTCCCCCCTTTTCCCATTGCCCCTTGCCCACCTCCACCCCGCCCGTCGCCGCACCTGTTGCGAGGAGTTGCTGTCGTGGAGCAGCATGGCGAGCAGCAGGTACGCCGCGAGCCCCAGCGCGATCACCAGGAACGTGTGCAGCGTCTGCGCCTCGTGCTCCTCGCGCCGCCGCACGTCGCGCTCCGTCTCGTGCGCCGTGCAGTGCCCCGCGCGCAGCCGCTTCGACGGCCTGCAGCGCGCGGTGGAAGGGGAAAGGGGCGGGTAAGGGGAAAGAGGGGGGAAGGGGAAAGGGGGCGGAAGGGGAAAGGGGGGGAAAGGGGAAAGGGGGGGGAAGGGGAGTTGGCGCGGGGAGGAGGCGGGGGTTGGTTGGGAGGAAGGGGAGGCGGAGCGGGGAAGCGGGGCACTTCCTAATTCCGTAAATTCGTCCATCCACACGTGGCGCGATTCCGACAAACCTGAGGAACGTCATGGCGGGGAGCGACACGAGCGGCGGCACGATGGCGATGAACCCGAGGTACGCCGCCTGATCCGGCGCGATGAGCGCGGCGTACACCTGCGTGAAGATGGCCCCCGACAGCCCCACGACGCCTTTAAGTAGCCCCACCACCGAGCCGCGCGAGCGCGGGAAGTTGCGCACGCACGTGACGAGCACCGCCGTGTTGAACCACGCCGTGCCCTGCGACCCCATCAGCATCAGCCCGCACATCTGCGCGCGACCGCGCGCGCGTCGCGGGGGAGGCGGGCACGCAGCAGGGAGTTGGGTGCGGGAGGGGGGGAATGCAGGGAGGGGAGTGGAAGGGGTGGGGAAAGGGAGCGGGGAGGAAGAAGAGGGGAGTTGGAGGTTGGAGGGGTGGGGGAAAGGGGTGACCAGTGAGGGTGGCAATGTGGGAGGAACGAAAAAGCGATTCGGATCGACAAACGAAAGGCATTAAAGTGTCGCGGGCTTCGCACTACCGTACGCGTCCATGCGGCCCCATTCCCCCGCCCCTCCTTGGTCTGTCTCCTCCCTCACGCGCCCGCCTCCCGCATTCGCTTGCACTCTTCCTTCCCGTCCCGCCATCCCCATAATCCCCACTCCCCATGCTCCATTCCACAGCCACCTCCCCGCCCATCCCCCTTCTCTTCCCCTCACGCCCCTGCGCGCGCGATCTCCTATCCCTCCTTCCCCCCGCTCCCCTGGCCGCGTACCTGCCAGAACGGCAGCGGCAGAATCCGCTGAGTGGCGACGGCGAAGAGCCCGCTAAAGCCGACGAGATAGTGCAGCGACCCGACGAGCACGAGCGCCCACACGGGCAGCGCGTCGCACAGCAGCCCCGGCAGTAACCCCACGCTCTCGCCCATGTCCTTCGCCACCGCGAGCCCGTCCACCTCTCGCTGGTTGTACCCGCCGACGGCTTTAAGCGCCGGCGAGTAGATCGCGAACGTCGCGGAGCTCCCCGCGCACGCGAGCAGCCATAGCCCGCAGATGAGCCCCAGCCAGCGGTTGTGGCACAGTGAGTTGATCGTGCGCTCCACGCGCGCCCAGAGGGACGGGGGAACGGGAGGCGGAAGCGGCGGGGGAGAGATTGCGCGCGGGGAGCAGAATCGCGGGGAAATGGGGTTGTCGGGCGCGGGACCCGCGGAAGAGGCACCGAGCGGGGATGGGAGGTACGGAGAGGGGGGATCGAGGCGAGAAGGGGTAGGAAAAGCGGGGGAGGCGGGGGAGGGAGAGGAGGCAGGGGCGGAGGAAGACGGAGTGACTTCCTGAAGGGCCATGAGGCGAAGTGACAGGGTGCAACTTGCGCCGACAACAATTACCGCGCTTCCTCGCTTTCACGCTGCGCACGCATGGGTCTCAGAGCGGGTGGGAAAACGAGACGAATGGGACCAACAAGTTTTCCTGTGAAATCTGTCTAAGCGGCAGTCTAGGCGGAGATTCGAATTCGCGATCTCAAATGTCAAGAAGCTCGGCAGAGAAACTTCAGCTTTCCAGCTGGTGCACGAAGAAAAGCGCAAGCATGGGAAAGGATGGGTTGCCTGCCTGCATGGTTGCTGCGACAGAATTAGCGTTCGCATGGGGTGGCAGCACGACGGTGGGATCGCATCGTCGGAGGGGCAACTGCGAAATTTGTCAATGAAAGCGCCATCCCAATTTCCACCGCTGCCTCCACTAGGCGTCGTGAGAGCAACGTACTGCTGTCGCAGATTGAGCTCGTGGAGGCGAATTTGTGCGGGCACTGTGCGAAGTACGCTGCAGCTGGTCTGCCCGCAGTTCGAGAGCTGGTTTGTTTTTGACCTGAGGTCCCCAGAAGTATTCCTGAATTTGACACATGCCGTTTGTGTCTCAACTAGCTTACTGACAGATCACGGGTTTCCGACACGAATGGTTGAGAAATTCGTGTGAAGTCCCCAAAATCTGGTGCTATACGGCCAGGCATACGCCCTCAATCTTACACATCTAGATGGTGTCGCAATGAATGTCGCAAGGGCCAATCAGGTGAGCAGGAAGTGGGAGATCCCCCGCGAAGTTTCCAAGGACTTCTGGGTGGACGTGGACGACAAATGGAATTGGATGCGACATGGAGCGACAGCAGATGCGCACCCGCTCATTGGACGAAAGTGCTGGCTGAAAGTTCGTCGTGTATTGAGTACAAATAGGAAAAAATAGTTGAATATTGTCGGATTCTGTACCTTATATCCTACATGCTTGATCTCATACTTACAACTGGGCCGCATTATACCGCAGCTTTCACAACGCTTGAATCTTGGGAGCTGCATCAGCACCTCCAGACCGGACCAGAGGCCAAGCGCGACGGTCCGCGTCATCTCCGCGATGGCGCCTACCGAGAGACGACAAGGCCGAATCCTCTTCGCAGTTGCCGCTTGACTAGTACGCGACAGGTGGCCATTGCTCCTCTGAATCTCAATGTGATTCCAACGCGCTCCGCCATGCTTTCCCTCCGGCCTTTTCGAGCGTGGACTAGATCTCGCTCGGTCTAGATCACGCGTGCCAGTCTGCAGTCCGCCACGGTTCCCGCCTCCAGTGATCCACAGCCATGGACCCTCCTCAACTCGCGCTAGCTCTTCTCCCCCATCCCCCCACGCTACTATCCGAGATCGCATCGCTCCCCTGGGACCTACTCCTCCTCCTCTCCTCCCGCCTCTCCCGCGCATTCCTCTCTCCTCTCCCCCGCCCCGCTCTCCTCTCCACGCTCCTCCTTCTCCTCCTCCTCGCCCCGCCGATCTACCTCTGCGCGCGATGGTCCGACGCGCTCTCCCTACCGCACGCGCGCTTCGACCCGCTCCTGCTCCTGCAGATCGCGTTCATCCCGTGCCTCTTTGAGGAAACTCTCTTCCGCGTGCTCCTGCTCCCGCACCCCGCGGAGCTATCTCCAGACGTCATGGCGCCCGACGAGGCGCTCCCGTTCGCGCTCTTCTGGTGGCTGCTGTCAACGGCTCTCTTCGTCTTCTACCACCCCGCGTGCGCGCTGCTCTTCCGCGAGCCCGCCGTGCGCCTCTTCACGCATCCGGGGTTTTTATTGGCGTGTTGCCTGCTCGGGGGCGGCTGCGCTTGGCTGTATTTGAGTGTGGGATCCGTGTGGCCGTGTGTGGCAGTGCACTGGGTGGTGGTGGCGGTGTGGCTATCGCTGGGTGGCCACCATCAGGCGCCTCTATGATACTACACACTGGTCACACTGGCTTCAGTTCTGCTCAACTTATGTGTCATATATGATTCGTTCTTCTTTTCTTTTCTTTTCTGTGTTCGGTCACTAGAGAGAAGGAGGTTGAGGCAGCACCGGTGAATCTCGTGTGGAGCTTCCTGGAGCTCAGCCGCTGCACCACCACCAGCACAAGCAGCACCAGCAGTAGCAGTGCGGCATTGTCGCTTTCTGTTTGCCAGGAACCTGTTATACATAGGGTGGAGGAAGGGCGAATGACAAGTTGAATGCCGGTGCACCACTCACAGCAGTACCGTAAGACTGGTGAAGGCGCTGTGGTAGAAAGGTGTGGGATGGGATGGGAGAGAGCTTCAGTGCGAGAGAGATTCTCAACTGAAGATACGGTATGTGCATCTGATCTACATGGTCTAGCGCGTGCAAGAGGTCTCCCAGCCTTCACTGCATCTTGAAGCAGCCTGTGCTGCACGTATGTTCAAGAACCAGGATGGGGAGTGCAAACAAACACATGGGGAGTACACATGTGCTGTTTTTGTTGCCCCTTCACTTTGCCCCTTCACTGTGCCCCCCTCCACATCTTTGCCATCCATTCTTTCGTCCCTCAGTGTTGCTAGAAAAATCACCAGCAAACACCTCAGGATTCAATTCTGGGCACTGTGTTCCCCCAACTGACAGTAAGTGGGGAGATTGGCTTGTGCAGAATCCCTACCCCACAGATGCTAACATACAGTACCTCCCATCCCATGTCAGAATTTTCATGTACAGCGGCTCGCTCACAGTGAAGAGCGCATCAATCAATCAACTAATTGAATGTAACAAATTAGCACGGACCGTACGGTCATCAATTCAGCTGCTTCTCGTCTCGGTGCCCTAAAGCACACATCTGTCATCTTAGTAGGGCTTCTGAATACCACACTGTGCGACACCTGATCTGTCTGTAGCCCCTCATGACTACAGTATCACCTCACCAACCCACTGCAAGAAGCTCTCTTGTTATCCACCCAGCCCAACCCAACCCTAGCATCGCCTAAAGCAGGGAGCATGTACGGTATGTATGCACCCATGGCTTGTCCGAAGCCCATTACCTTCCCATGACCTCCCAGGTGCATCTTTGTCTCCTTCCTCCCTGATCTCCTCACCACCCATCTGCAACGCCTGTGGCATCCCATCCCACCACCAAGCACATGTGCCTCTGTGCTTGTAGGCAACAGCTGGTTAGATCAGGGCAGGGGGCAGAGGTCGTGCATGCTACCTACGTGGTGTAAGCCACGATCCAAGGGTGGCCTGGGGGACAGGAGGTGAGAAGATGTGTGAAAAGGTGATCAAGGGGAACAGGGCAGGGCAGCATGTGAGTGCATTCAACAATCCCAATCGCTGGGCAGGTTGGGTATGAGGCGCCTAAGAAAAATCATATTGCTGAGCGTGTGCGTGGGTGGATATGGGTGTCTGTGTGTGAAGGGAGGGGAAGAGCGGAAGGGGGTTACGTGGGGACGTCGGAGGAAGGGGTGCAATTCAGCTGCATGCACAAGCCAGCAAGTGCACTTGATAAATCTGCACAACCGCACCCGCACTTCCACCCCCACCCACCCCAACCCCCACCCTCACCAACCCCCCACCCACACCCCCACCCCCCACCCATACCCACACCCGCACCCGCCCCCCTGCACTCACGCAGAATCCCCTCCACAGTAATCCGCTTGGCGTAGTTCTTGCACAGCATGCGGCGCACAAGGTCCTTGGCGGCGTCCGACACCTGGGGCCAGGGGTCGGTGTCAAAGTCAAGGTGGCCCCACAGCACGCTCTTGAAGATCTCCTCCGTGGTGTCGCCCCAGAAGGGCGGCAGGCCGCACAGCAGGATGTAGAGGATCACGCCCGCGCTCCACACGTCCGCCTCCACGCCATAGTTCTTGTTGATCACCTCGGGCGCGATGTAGTTCGGCGTGCCTGCGCGGAACGTGCACCGCTCGCCTGGGGGGAGACGGTAGCGGGACAAGGGGATGGGGGAATGGGGAGGTGGGCGAGGGGGGGGGGAAGAGGGGGTTGGGTGAGTGGAGACGAAGTGGGGTGGGGGAGGGGCGTTGGGGTTTGGTTAGGAAGCTGGGGTAAAGGGGGCATGTGGTGTAGCGGTGGGACAAGATGGGGGCATGAGGAGGAGTGAGGGTTTACACTGGTGGTGTGGTGGTGGTGGTGGTGGTGGTGGTGGTGGTGGTGGTGGTGGTGGTGGTGGTGGTGGTGGTGGTGGTGGTGGTGGTGGTGGTGGTGGTGGTGGTGGTGGTGGTGGTGGTGGTGGTGGTGGTGGTGGTGGTGGTGGTGGTGGTGGTGGTGGTGGTGGTGGTGGTGGTGGTGGTGGTGGTGGTGGTGGTGGTGGTGGTGGTGGTGGTGGTGGTGGTGGTGGTGGTGGTGGTGGTGGTGGTGGTGGTGGTGGTGGTGGTGGTGGTGGTAAAAGTGACAGCATTGAATGGGGGTTGGGGCTCTATGCGCCACCACCAACCCCACCAACACATGCCCGCCATTTCACCCACGCCATCCAAGCCCCAAACAAACGCTCAACCACACACATCCGCACGCACACACCCACAGACCCAGCCTCCATGACAGCAGCAGCACACGTACCAGGCTGGAAGATATAGGCCATGCCATGACAACCTTGCAGTGTCACCCACCCACACATGCCCCACCCACCATCCCCCACCATGAACCCACACGCACCAGTTGTGGTCGGAATCTGAAAGCTCTTACCAGGCTGGAAGATGTACGCCATGCCGTAGTCTATGACCTTGCAGCGCCACCCACCCACACACAACCCGCCATCCCCCACCATCAACCCACACGCACCAGTTGCTCGACGTCTCAAAGCTCTTACCAGGCTGGAAGATATACGCCATGCCGTAGTCAATGACCTTGCAGCGCGTGTCGCTCCTCTTGCTGGTGAGCAGGATGTTTTCGGGCTTGAGGTCGCGGTGCAGCACCGCCAGCCCGTGGCAGTGCTGCAACACGTCGATCACCGTGCGCGTCACCTTGGCCGCCTGCCGCTCGCTGTAGTACCCGCGCTCCTGGATGCGGTCAAACAGCTCCCCGCCCTCGCACAGCTCCATGATC